TTCCCCCTCACCCCTCCCCACCACCCCACCTCTCCCTACAAAGTTCTTTGAATATAATTTGGTTTGATCTTTTGAAAAGTAATTTGGAAATCTCTAAAAAAGTAAAAATGTTCATGGTTTCTACACATTAATTAAAATTCTAGAAATTTCTAATAATTTATATTTAGAAAATTGTTATATAAATAAAGGTGCTTATGGGCATGTCATTTCTAATAACAAAAAAATTGGAACCACCTTTAATAGTCAACAATAGGAAAATGTTTTATTAAAGTAAAATTATATCTACTTAGTAGAAAATTAGTTATTCTATTATAGTTATAAGACTGTATGGCAAAATATAATAATTCTTAATGAAGGAAGAATGGAGAAAGCTGATTTTAAAATACTGTTTACCTTCTGACAACCCCTGTGTAAACATGAAAATATTTCTTAAAAACTAAACCAAAATAAAATTTTAGGAGCTCTGTAATAGTAATGAGAATTTTCTATTTGTTTTCAAAGCATTCTTTAACATATCACATATTATTTTATAATTTTTATTTTTAAGAAGATTAATGTAGTTTCTTTTACCCCTTTTCTTAAGGGTTTCTGACTATTATATTTCATACTTTCAAATAAAAAATGATTCTATCATCAGAGAAGATTAAACTTTTTTAACAGTTCATACTTCCATGTTATTCAGTACAGAGACCATATGCACATGTTAGTGCTTTAAATATATAATTTCAAGATTTTTTTGTTTGTTTAATATTTCCTAGTATGGAGATTAAGCAAAGTTCCAAAATTGCTAACCACTCTGTTCTACTTTTCTCATTTTTTAAAGGTTTTATTTATTTATTTTTAGAGAGGGAAGAGAGGGAGATAGAGAGAGAGAGGGAGAAACATCAATGTGCGGTTGCTGGGGGTTATGGCCTGTAACCCAGGCATGTACCCTGGCTGGGAATCGAACCTGCGACACTTTGGTTCGCAGCCCGCACTCAATCCACTGAGCTACGCCAGCCAGGTACTTTTCTCATTTTTATTCACTTAATTTGTCCTTCACAGAATGAAAACAAATGAATATGCAGGTATATTTTCCAGCTTCTTATATCCCCTATTATCCACATCATGAAATTATGCTAGTGTGAATGTTTCCATTATTTTCAGAGCTCTTCAGTTATTAAATTCATCTTTGGCCCTGTGTAATAACTATCTTATGTAAATATAAAATTTGGACTAACCCTCTGAAAGCCTTTGTTTTCTTAGTTCAAAAGTCAAAGATCCTTAGTTTAGTGATGTGACTACCAATTATTAGCATAGTTTTTAACTCTTAAATTATTGGTTGATGGAAACCTGGCAATATTTGCCATTTCTCAGAAGTTCTCTATTAAACTAATTCCCTCTCTCTCTCTCTCTCTCTCTCTCTCTCTCTCTCACACACACACACAGACACACACACACACACAGTGATACACATGAGATACACATGTATTGTGATTAAGAGCATAGAGTGTGGCATTATGAAGTCTAAGATGCTAATTCCAGCTCTTCCATTTCTGGGCCATTTCACTTTAGGCAAGTATCTTGATATCTCTGAGCCTTGTTATTTTCATATGTAAGGAGATTACAGTTATTTATATCAACAATCTTCAAAGCATCACTATGATTTTAGAGATTTCTTTTACTGTCAGATGTAAAGCAGGAACTAAATATGTGGCTATTATTTTTTTAAAGATTTATTTATTTATTTTTAGAGAGAGAAGGGAGGGAGAAAGAGAGAGAGAGAGAAATATCAATGTGCAGTTGCTGGGGGCTGTAGCCTGCAACCCAGGCATGTGCCCTGACTGGGAATTGAACCTGTGACACTTTGGTTCGCAGCCCATGCTCAATCCACTGAGCTATGCCAGCCAGGGCTGTGGCTATTATTTTTATTTCTTATTATTTAGGTGTTGATTTTCCCTGAGTCTGTAAATCCTCACAATGAAATGCGATTTCCAATAAATTGAGTTACACCTATTATCAGGAAAGATTTTAACCTAAATCATTACTTCCATTGCAACCCAGATGAGTTTTCTGCCTTTTCTGTTTGTCATTTGTAGTAGTTCAATAAAGATTAGCATAGATGGAACTGGAGAGCATTATGCTAAGTGAAATAAGCCAGGTGGTAAAAGACAGATACCTTATGGCCTCACCTATAAGTGAAACCTAATCAACAGAACAAACAAGCAAGCAAAATATAACCAGAGACATTGAAATTATGAACAAACTGACCAATAACCAGAAGAGAGGTGAGAGGAGATATGGGGGTAAAAAAGGGGGAAGGGTTTTCAGGAACATGTACAAAGGACACATAGACAAAACCAAAGCAGGGTAGGATCAAGGGTGGGAAGTGGGGCTAGCTGGGGTTGCGGGGAGTGGCGGAGGTAAAATGGAGACAACTGTACTTGAACAACAATAAAAAATAAAAAAAATAAAAATAAATTTAAAAAGTTTCATTTAACAAATAAGTACATGGATGAATGATTTAATGCTACTTTTTGAGAAGTAGAACAAACATAAGTTAGTGCAACAGATGAGTAAAGTGTACAAGGGGAAAAAAAAAGGTCAACTCATGGGTGTGCCCTGCCTAGGAATAAAATGCTGTTTAAAAAAACAAGGAAAAATGTTGTTGAATAACTTATTTTTACTATTTTTAAAAGTTAAGCATAAAACTCTTTTGATAACTTCCATATTTGGCACCAATAAAAATAATGTAAGATTAGAACCATATTATAGACAGAATGTTGAATTTTAATCACATTAAATAACATTAAGTAGTATAACTTTATGAAACATTTGCAAGTTTCCTAATAAAAAGTAAGATAGTGAGTGACCTTTGAATAGCAAAGACAGAGAAAGAATGGCCTTTTCAACATTCTAAGTAAAATGCTTGGCAATCTACCTACAAAGCTATATAAGACAATGGCTTTTTAGGTCCCTGTGAAGATCAGATTTTGCCAAAGAAGCAATTTGTAAAAGTAACACACATGCCAATATCATTGGAAACTATAAATGTCAACTTCAATTTAAATTGATGAACATAAGTCCCTTTAACATTTCATATAATAGGGGCTTGGTGATGATGAGCCCCTTTAACTTGACCTGATTAAAGAAGCACTTTATCTTCCCTTCCATTCTAAATGATAGCTTTGCTGGACAGAGTGATCTTGGATGGAGGTCCTAAGAAATATAAGATCAAAAACTATGAACAGTAAAATGACAACAAACCCACAACTATCAACTGAACCAAAAAAAAATAAAAATGAAAAACTAAGCAAACCGCTAGAAGAGGAACAGAATCAGAGAAATGGACATCACATGGAGGGTTTTCAGTGGGGAGGAGGAAGGGAAGATGGAGGACAAGGTACAGGGAATAAGCATAATTGGTAGGCTTAAAATAGACAGGGAGAGGTTAAGAATGGTGTAGGAAACAGAGAAGTCAAAGAATTTATATGTACAGCCCATGGACATGAACTAAGGGGTGGGGAATGCTGAGGAATGGGGTCTGCAGGACAGAGGGGGGTAAAGGGAAAAATTTGGGAAAACCATAATAGCATAATCAGTAAAATATACTTAAAAATAAATTGATGAACATAAATGAAATGATAGTGTTATTTCCTTGTGAGGTTTTGGAAAAAGTTGGTTAGGAGATGTATGAAAGTGAAGCCTTTATAGGCTGGAATAAAGATACATCAATTTTGATAACATAAAATTCATTTACTAAAATTGTTTACAGCATCTGGCATTAATATTTCCCTGTACTTTAGTCTTTGCCTACAATCAATGTTGAAGATCATCTTTGCCTTTGGAGTGGAATCATGCCTGTGGTATACATGAGTCATATAAAAGATTAAACAGTGAAAATAAGTCAGCATTTAAAGACAATTTGTCTGATTTATTCAGTGGGTTCTTCCAAAGAGGTGATACTAAGAACTATTGCTTTTTGGATTAATGTTACAAATCCTTTCAGAGTTACTTAATTTTTTCTTTCCACATCAATATTAATAAAGATCAAGAATAGTTACATATTCATTAAGAAATACAGGCCCAAACAATTTATGACCCCCAATAATCCAATGCTCTTTACACAGCCATCACTAGTAGAAGTACCAAGATGGTGCACATTATGTGTCATTCCTCCTAGATCCTAATGTTTTCAAACAGTAGGAAAGAGCATAACTTTAAGGAGAAAAATAATGTATGTGAGAATGGCCAATGGAGAAAGGGAAGGAGAGATACTGCCACTTGTTTTCCATGAATAATGGTGTGGAATTTATAGGCAGATGTTCTGGAACAGGTGTGACTATAATTTGAGGAGACCACTTACTCCTTTAGTTACTCAAAACACTGTGATTATTATTTTGGAAGCACAGCCACAGGATTTTATTGCTTCACTTGTTGTAGCCTTCCCTTTACCCTAATAACTATCTTTCTAAACCACTGATTGGCAGTCAACAGATTTAGCCTCTTCCCTCCATGCCATCACAAAAAGAGACGCAAGTGCACCCATGCTCATGTATGCACATGTATACTTTTGTGTGTCACAGTGCTTGTATGCAATGGACATTGCACATTAAAGGTCTCTGTGAAATATCCTTCTGCAAGTTCCTATGTTTATTTTCATGAGTAATTAAATTTAGTCAAATCAATAATTTCCTGAAAATCTAGGCAAAAATTAAAGAAAGGAGGTAACTTTTTTTTAAAAAGATAAGAAAACTTGTCTTTTTGCTGTCACTTTACGTCTTAATGAACAAATGATACCTGGGCTTTTTCTGAAGTCTTTGCTTGGCTAGAAGACCCAAATGCTACCTGGACTCTTTTCATGTGTTCACTTTGTGAGTATTCAGACTTATAAACTGAATTTCCCTTAATTTTTTACTAAACTGTTTACAAGTCTGTGCTTGAACATTTACTTAAGACTTTAAAAAACTGAGATCTATATGTGTAGTTAATTTCCCTTTCTCCTGCTGTCTCCATTTCAGTTTCTTGAGTTTCTGGGAAGGCCTGGTTTCCCCAAAGGAGCAATTTCTGGTAGAAGTCTGAAGGTCTGATCAAAGAAAAAAAATCCAGCATAGCCAATGAATTAAGGACAAGAAGGTTTCCACTCAGGTAGGACCTCAATCTCATACTTGCAACCACCTTAAATAAAGTGTGGTGATGGCTGGACATATGTCTGCTTGGAAAAAAGTGGATATATAACCTACCCTACAGGAAGCTGTTTGCAATTCCCTTGGAGTTTGTGGTGTTTATCAGATAATTCCTTAGAGGAAAAGGGATACAATAACAGTATGATGCTTTTTTTCCATTTTTAGCTCATTGTTGCTGAGTACACTTAGTGATCTTGGTGGCTATGGCTTACTCCCCAGAGTTTAAGTAGAAAGCAGATTAACCCTTTGGGTACTTTCTCCTAAGACAAATAATCTTCATAGATTGTCTTCTTGATATAGCTGCTTAGCAAAACTAAAGACAACAATTTTATCTTCATTAGCAACTTGAGATTAAAAAATTTAGAGCAAAGGGAATAATGAAGATATCCCATTTTATGGCAAGATAAAAGACCCTAGTGACATCAAAATCAGGGCCTGTCCATCTCATTCACAGTTATATCCTCCAGGATTAACACCTGACCCCTAGTTAGTACTCAATGTGAAGACGTGTTGGATGACTGATGGATGATTAATGAAAAAAAGGTTAATATGGTAGAAAAGGTATTTATCATTGTAGTTCCTGTGTGTTTACTTCTGTATTAGAAGGACCCAGCACTGTAACTGATACTTGGAATGTAAACAATAAAACTTGTTTAAAGTATAGATAAATCCCCATGACTCTAAGGCTAATTATAAAGCCAACACAGAACCAAAAGTCTAGATCTGCCAAGGTCTATGGCAGAAGTATCTATGAGATGAAAGTATGGACCTCAGACTTTTGATATAACAGACAGAATTTTTCTAGTTTTAGCCATTTACATATCACCCCATTACACTTCAGCATACTACCTATATTAGTCCTACTGGTTTTTTTTAAAGTTTATTGTTGTTCAAATATAGTTTTCTGCCTTCTCTCCCCACCTCTCCCCCCCGACCACAGTTATCTCCACCTCTCTCCCCTATTCCACCCCCCTTGATTTTGTCCATGTGTCCTTGTAGTTCCTGAAAAACCTTCTTCCCTTCCCCCCATTACCCCTCCCTCCTCCCCTCTGGTTACTGTCAGATTGTTCTTTATTTCAGTGTCTCTGGTTATATTTTGCTTGCTTGTTTGTTTTGTTAATTAGGTTCCACTTAAATGTGAGATCATATAGTATCCGTCCTTTACCACCTTGCTTATTTCACTCAGTATAATGCTGTCCAGTTACATCCATGCTGTCACAAAGGGTAGGAGCTCCTTCTCTGCTGCATAGTATTTCATTGTGTAAATGTACTACAGTTTTTTTTATCTATTCATTCACTGATGGACACTTAGGTTGATTGTAGCACTTGGCTACTGTAAATTGTGCTGCTATGAACATTGGGGTGCATAGGTTCTTTTGGATTGGTGTTTCAGGGTTCTTAGGATATAATCCCATCAGTGGAATTAGTGGGTCAAAAAGCAGTTCTATTTTTAGTTTTCTGAGGAAATTCCATAGAGTTTTCCATAGTGGCTGCACCAGTCTACATTCCCACCAACAGTGCACTAGGGTTCCCTTTTCTCTGCATCCTCTCCAACACCTGTTGTTTGTTGATTTGTTTATGATGGCCATTCTGTGTGGTGTGAAGTCGTATCTCATTATTTTAACTTAATCTCCCTGATAGCTAGCAATGCTGAGAATCTTTTCATATCTCTCTGGATACTTTGTATGTCCTCCTTGGAGAAATGTATTTTCAAGTCCTTGCCCATTTTTTAATTGGGTTGCTTGTCTTCCTAGAGTTGAGTTGTGTGAGTTCTTCATATATTTTGGAGATCAAACCCTTGTCTGAGGTATCATCTGCAAATTAGTTTTCCCATACTGTTGGTTCTCTTTTCATTTTAATGCTGTTTACTTTAGACGTGCATAAGATTTTTATTTTGATGAGGTCCCATTTGTTTATTCTCTCCTTTATGTCCCTTGCCCTAAGGGACATATCAGTGAAAATATTGCTATGTGCAATATCTGAGATTTTCCGGCCTATATTCTTATGAAGAACTTCTATGGTGTCACAACTTATATTTAAATCTTTTATCCACCTTAAATTTATTTTTGTCTGTGTAAGTTGGTGGTAGAGCTTCATTTTTTGCACGTAGCTGTCCAGCTCTCCCAATACCATTTGTTGAAGAGGCTGTTCTTGCTCCATATTAAGCTGCTGCCTCATTTGTCAAATACTAATTGATACAGAGGCTTGGGTTTATTTCTGGGCTCTCTATTCTGTTCCATTGGTCTATGTGGCTGTTCTTATGCCAGTACAAGGCTGTTTTTATTCCAGTGGCCTTGTAATCCAGTTTGATATCAGGTACTGTGATACATCCTACTTTATTCCTTTCTCAAAATTGCTGCAGCTATTCAAAGTCATTTATGGTTCCATATAAATTTTGAAGTGTTTGTGCTATAGCTGTGAAATATGCCATTGGTACTTTAATGAGCATCACATTAAATCTAAAAATTGCTTTGGGTAGTATGGACATTTTGATGATGTTAATTCTTCCAATCCATGAACACAATATATGCTTCCATTTACTTGTGTCTTCCTTAATTTCTTCAGTGTTGTGTAGTTTTCTGAGTACAGGTCTTTTATCTTCTTAGTTAGCTTTATTCCTAGGTATTTTGTTTTTCTTGTTGCTTTATACAATAAAATTTTTTCCTGATTTCTGTTTCTGATATTTTGTTGCTGGTATACAAAAATGCTTTTGATTTCTGAATATTGACTTTGTATCCCACTTTTTTTCCAAATTCATTTATTAGGTGGAGCAGTTTTTTGGTGGAGTCTATAGGATTTTCTGTATCCACTATCATGTTATCTGCAAACAATCAGAGTTTTGTTTCCTCTTTTCCAAATAGGATGCCTTTTATTTCTTTCTCTTGTCTGAGTTCTGTGGCTAGGACTTCCAATACTATGTTGAATAGAAGTGGTAAAAGTGGACAGCCTTGTCTTGTTTCTGATCTTAGTGAGAAAGTTTTTAGTTTTTGTCTGTTGGTATGATGTTGTCTGTAGGTTTCTTGTATATGGCCTTTATCGTATTGAGGAATGCTCCCTCTATTCCCACTTTGCTGAGTGTTTTAATCATAAATGGCTGATGAGCCTTATCAAATGATTTTTCTGCATCTGTTGATATGATCGTGTGATTTTTGTTTTTGCTTTTGTGTATGTGATGTATTACATTTATTGATTTGTGAATATTGCACCATCCTGGCATCCCTGGGATGAATCCCACTTGATTATGGCATATGATCTTTATAATGTATTGTTGGATGCAGTTTGCCAATATTTTGTTGAGGATTTCAGCATTTATGTTCATCAGTGATATTGGCCTGAAGTTTTCTGTCTTTGTTGTGTCTTTATCTGGTTTTGGGATTGGGATGATGCTGGCTTCATAAAATGAGTTTGGCAGTCTTCCATCTTCTTGGATTTTTTGGAATAGTCTATGAAGGATAGGGGTTAGCTTTTCCTTAAATGCTTTGTAGAATTCTCCTGTGAAACCATCTGGTCCAGGGCTTTTGTGTGCCAGGAGTTTTTTGATTACTGCTTCAATTTAACCAGCTGTTATTGGTCTGTTCAGGCTTTCTGCTTCTTCATTCAGTTTGGAAGATTATATTTTTCTAGAAATTTATCCATTTCACCTAGGTTTTCAAATTTCTTGGCATACAGTTCCTTGTAGTACTTTCTTAACAATCCTTTGTATTTCTGTGCTATCAGTAGTAATTTCTCCTCTTCTGTTTCTGATTGTGTTTTTTTGGGTCCTCTCTCTTTTTTTCTTGATGAGTCTACTTAAAGGCTTGTTGATTTTGTTTATATTTTCAGAGAACCAGCTCCTGGATTTATTGATCCTTAAAATTGTGCTTTTAGTCTCTCTGTCATTTAATTCTGCTCTGATCTTGGTTATTTCCTTCCTTCTACTTGCTCCAGGCTGTCTTTGTTGTTATTCCTCCAGTTCTTGTTAGGTTGTTTATTTGAAATCTTTCTATCCTTTTTAGGTAGGCATGTATCACTATAAAGTTCCCTCTCAGGACTTCCTTTGCTGTATCCCATAAATTTTAGATTGTTGTGAGTTTATTTTCATTTGTTTCCAGAACTTCTTGATTTCTTCTTTAATTTAATTCTTGACCCATTCATTGTTTAATAGTATGCTCTTCAGTCTCCATGAGTTTGAGTGTTTTTGAGTTCTTTCTTGAGGTTGGTTTCTAGATTCTTTGTAGTCAGGGAAAATGCTTGATATGATTTCAATTTTATTGAATTTGTTGAGTTTTGTTCTGTGTCCTATCATGTGGTCTATCTTTGAAAATGTTCCATGTGCATTTGAAAAGAATGTATATTTTGTTTCTTTAGGATAAAAGGCTCTCTCTATATATGTGTCAGTTAAGTCCATTTGATCTAGGACATTGTTCAATGTTTTGATTGGAGTATTTAATCCATTTACATTTAAAGTTATTGTTGATAGGTACTTATTCATTGCCATTTTTTGGTACTTGTCTTCCTCTCTCTCACTCTTTTTCTCTCTTCTCTTAAAGCAGTCCCTTTAACATATCTTGCCCTGCTGATTGGTGGAGGTGTATTCTTTGAAGCTTCTTTTATCTGAGAAACTCCTTATTTCACCTTTCTTTTTAATTTAGAGCCTTGCTGGATAAAGTACTCTTGCTTTCAGGCCTTTGGTTTTCATTACTTGGAATATTCCAGGCCATTCTCTTCTGGCTTGGAGTGTTTCCATTGAAAAGTCAGCTGCTAGTCTTATTGGGGCTCCCTTGTACGTTACTTCCTATTTCTCCCTTGATGCCTTTAAGACTCTCTTTATCTTGGAATTTTGCCATTTTAATTATGATGTGTCTTGAAGTGGGACTCTTTGGGTTCCTCTTGATTGGGATTCTCTATGTTTCCTGGATTTGTGTGACTTTTTCTCTCATCAAATTAGGGAAGTTTTCCATCATTACTTTGTCGAACAAGTTT